TTTTCATATCCATGGACCTAGAAATTTACTTTTTTATTTTTAAATCTAAAACGCCCAACTCAATGGTATACCTGATTTGGATGTATTTTTAGCGGTATTTCCATATCAATCCATATAATTTTTGTTAGACATGTTTTATCCCACTGTGCCAAAACGGTGATATTGCTTCCCGTATAGGTGTAATAATAATTAAGGGATTGTGGCAGAAAATCTTCCAAGGATAGACGTTTTTCTGTCGGTATTGTGACGTTTGTCTTCCAAGTGGTCACCTGGGCAACAAAATCATTGATGACTGACAAAAATCCCTCGCTGGAGACATGGGGTCTTACCTGGAAAAAAATGTTTTTATATTTTTTTATATTTTTTAATGGGTTATATTGCATGCGCCTACACGAAATCTCATTGACATTATGGCCACAGCCTCATGTTGTGGCAATGCCCTCTCATAGTTCCCGTATTTGGTATTGTAAAAATAGACATGTAACTCGGCTGGAAATGTAAAATTATTGAAATCCCATTCCTCAGGTGATTTTTCCAACCAATTGAAAGCGATCTTTTGGAAACGATATATACCCTTTCCCCTCAATGGTCCATTACATAGGGTAGGCGTATTCTCAACATTGTCATAAATCAAATCAATTACTAAGACATCTCCATCATTTGTTAGAATCACCTGTTGTGATGACTCATTGCACCTCTGACACAGTAATGGATAATATAATCGTTCCTTAATTGTCACGTTTCGAAAGGGCAAAGTATGTTTTCCATCGCAGTGTATTCTCTCCAATTGAAGTCCGACTACTTTTTTTGGGGAAAGTAACAAGATTTAAAGGTTAAGAGGTTTTAAAAGCATATTTACTTCATAGACTTACCATTTAGACCAAATCTTCCAAGAAATGCTAGAATGAAATAATTTCCAAGAAAATGAGAAATTTAAAACACGTTTAAATTTTTTGAAGACATTCAATTTTTTTATTTCCAATTTTTTATTACCAAAGCATATAATAATGTCTCGGACATAAATAACCTCCATATTGTATTAGGGCAAAGTGCCAACTGATTTCAATGTGGGTAACGAAATCAATGTTATAACAAATTCAAAACTATTATCCAACTACAATGTTGCAAATCCTATAGGAAAATTAAAAATTTATTGTAATACATTTCATAAGCGAAGTGCTTAACCATACTCACGAATATTTATAGAAAACTCTTCTTAAAATCAGAGGGAAATTCTCTTGCTTAGACATTAAAAAATGGAAAGAAATCTGAACAAGTTAAAAAGTATCAGTCGGTTTTGTTAACAGAGATGAGATGAAATGCAATGAGATGAAAAAACTGCAACCAATTTCAGACTGCTGCCAATTCTAAGTCACTCGTCCGACAGCTGTTAAAATTATTCCAGTGACAGCTCACTATATTGTTTACAAGCGTACAATAGCATTTTTGTAAGAATTTTCCAGAAAAAAAGTTATTCGTGGTGGAATTCAAGCATGATAGTGTGATTTCTTTATATTTGGCTGGAAAACCACAAGTGGCTATCGTTAGAGCACTCCAGAATCTAAATGTGAATAAATATTTTGTGTCTCTTACCTTGATACTGGTAGCGTAGCCCGACGTGACGCCAAGGAAGTGGACGGGAGAAAACAGCAACATCAGCAACATCGCGGTGGCCGAAAAATGGCTTGTGAGCTGAACATATCGCAATATTCCATTCTGCAAATATTGAAAAATGAACTCGGGGTAAAGACGTTGAAATTCCAAAACAGTGCAAGCACTAACACCGCAACAGAAAAAAATAGTCTCAAAAGAGCTAAAGAGTTGCTTCGCTTGGCCGAAAGTGGTGAACTGCAGAATTTGGTTTTCTCCTATGAGAAAATATTCGTTGTTCAGCAGTTTGTAAACAAACAAAATGATCGTGTTTACTTGCCAAAGAGGTCAACTGGCGATGGTGTGGGCCGCCATAACAGCCGATGGTCGTTATCCGCTCAAATATATGCCGAATATTATCGCGAAAATATTCTGGAGAGTGTATTAATGCTAAAAAATTCCAAAGTGTCGATCACCTCAAGTAAGCGCTTCGCCGGGAATGGGCCAAAATACCGCAGAGCAACATTCGGGCTGCGTGTGACGGTTTCATTGGCCATTTGAAGGCCATAATTCGTGCCAAAGGTGACCAATTCGAACAAATCTAAACTTATTCTACATTTATATGGTATTTCCTACATTTTTTATTACTTCAAAAAAAAATTTAAAATAAAAATGTAAAAATTATGTCGTTTGCCTTTGTTGCAGTTTTTTTATCTCTTTATATATAAAGTAGGTAATAAAGGGTAAAAAATCTCATACTCACATCAGATCTCTAGTTATGTGCATATTGAGATATACTTAGTAATAAGAGATTCATAGATATGTTTCGCAATTAATAACATGTTGACAACTCAATTCAAAATGTTGACCTTTGTGGAGGAGGTACCTGAATAAGTTTGAAAAGAGTCAGATGCTTCTTCCGAATTTATATGAGCGCCATGGTTACCCAAATGTTTTACCTTTGTGGGGGAGGTACCAGAGGTTCGCCATATCGCATTTTCACAACCGATCTTGTGCTGATAGAAATATTGGGAAGTGCAAAAATTGAAGACATTCTGACTCTTATTTCACGCTTTACAAAGTTATTGATTATTTTGAGCCTTCGTGGGAAAGGTACTTGTTGGAGTATGCCAATAGTGTCCATTTTCGAACTTGATGAACTTGAAATGATATATACACTCTGTTGATGGTCCTGGAGGAACTATTTTTAACAAATCCACGATGAAAGCCTTGAAAACTTTGTTAGTACTTTAGAAAAATATTGATATCCTGAATGGTCTTTAAATATCCTTAAAATATCCAGAATTATAGCTCTGATTATCATGGAAAAATCCAGAGTTATTGCTCCGATGCACTCGAAAATTATTTTTTTTTAATCCAACTATGGTCTTTAAATATCATTAAAATATCCAGAATTATAGCTCTGATAATCCTTGAAAATCCAAAGTTATTGCTCCGATCCACTCGAATTTTTTTTTTTAAATCCAACTAGATAATCTTGATGGTCTTTAAATATATTCTGAAAAAAATCCACATTCATTGTCCTGATGATCCTTGAGTAATATTTTTCAAAAATTGCTTTGATAGTCCTTGAAAAAGAATCCATGTTCACAGGTGTGATTATCGTTAAAATATGTTTAAAAAGTCCACGTTTTCAGCTAGAAAGATCCTTGAAATAAATAAATATAATAAATATTCCTCTGATTGATTCATGGTCTCGATGATCCTCTGGTGGTCCTTGACGTTTTTTTAAACCCAAAAATCTTAATGAGTATCCTTGATGGCGAAAAAATTAATAAATAGTCTTGCAAAAATATTCGTAAAAATTATGCCATGTCCTTTCTCCCGTTGATAGATAAATAAAAAAAAAATATTTGTTTTATTTATTCTTGTATTTTATAATATTTTATTGATTCATTTACTTTTTATAATATTTTCCCATAATAATGTCTTGGTTGTATAATTTTTTATTAATAGGTATTTATAATATTGTTTATATAATGATGTATTTTGTTTTTGTTTTCCTTCTTTTAATTTAAAATTAATATAATTTTATAATTTAAAATGGTTTTGCTTCTTTTCCCTTTCAAAAAAAAAACTTACAAAATAAAATAACAAACAAAAGCAAATAAAGAATGAAAAAGAAGAAGAAGAAGAAACTAAATCCAACAAAAAAGTGTATAACTCCAGCTAAAAGCAAAAAAAATTAAAAAGAAATAAATTTTTGGCTAATTAAATACTAAAATATTACAATTTTTTGTAGATTTTTTTAAATGATTTTTTTTCTCAATTTTTTTTCTGTTGTGATGGGGATGATAATTTTTGTCTACTTTAATACTTCGAGTATTATTTGTTGTAAATAGATTTGTTTTATCGCCTTGATAGGTATAAGTAAAAAAATTGGCGGCTACGAAATACACAACACATCACTTTTTGCTGCCTTGTTTCTCCTGTTCGCAATCGAATCGTTTTTGTTTTTCTTTTCTTTTTGTTCACACCTTTTAGAGAGTTTTTAATATACAGATTAAATAAAAAAGTAAAAGGTAGAGTCGGAAGGGTGAGCCCACTATGTTAAAAATATTTGTATGTCTATATAGCATACACCATATCTACTGGTGTCGTTTTGCAGATCTTTTCCTTGAGGACAAATTCCAAAGGCGCAAATTCGTTTCAATGTTTTTTTTTAGAGTACTGGGGTCGAAAGTCATGCTTTGCATTCAATTTTAATCAACTGCCTTTAGAATTCAATTTTATGGAGAGAATGTCAAGCCATTGCCTGAAAGAGTCTAAAGTCCTTTCCAAAACTTTGTTGAGGAAGCTGTCAAAATTTGCCAAAGGTCTCTCTTTTATAGAAAAGCCCATGTGCCTGGGCAGAAGTGGCCGATTTTCGTGTTTGTCTGGCATCAGATTTTGAAATGTTCAAAATGCGAAATCTAATGACGCAGATGGATAATATAAATCATACATATTTTGTCCTATTCTTCCCTATCTTCATAAGTAAACTCCAATGGATACTGGTGTAGGCTATAAGGACTCGCAACTAATCACATATCATTTCTTGGCAACTAACACAAGAGTAGTTTTTAACGATACAAACGATAATAGTTATAGAAATATTGTATATATGTATGTATATAAAGAAGTATAGAGAGAGATAAGTCAGGATTATGATTATATATATATTGCCATAAGAGTTGTTGTTGTTGTTCATGTTCGGATATTTTTTTAATAATAGTTATTTTTCAATGTTCGCTATCTCTATATATTTATTTGTATATATTTCCTCTACCACATATATAGGAATATGGATATCTCTGGATTATATAAATGGGTAGGGTTGGGTTTGCGAGATTTCAAGCTACACTTATGTGTTTATATGTATGTATGTAAGTCGTTGGCATCCAATATAATTTGTTTTTTCTCTGAAGGCTTCTTCTCTACCTTAATTGGAATTTTTATTATTTTTCACATTTTGTTCCTGTTTATTTTCCCTAATCATATTTAACAATTGCATCATCATTAAAGCCTGTACCTTATCCAGGGGGTCCATAAAACCCCGCTGCAGCCACTTGGGTATTGTGGTGCGGGCATGACTGAAACCTAACTTATTGAGTATATAATCAATGCCATAGGGTTCAATGGATTTGCCAGCCCAATAGAGTATCCGCACCGTGGGTTCCAAATGCCATGTCTGACATTCGAAATGACGCCAATCACGAAAGAATGATTCTAAATCGGTATCATTGTTACCAGCAGCATCACCGCCAGCTGCTCCACCTGCTCCAGATGAGGTTGCATTTTGCGACGTACCGGATGATATTGCCGAGCCTGCAGCACCGCCACTTGTTACAGTGCTTGAATTCGTGTTAGTTGCTTGTTTTGTTGCTGATGTGCTGGTGCCAGTGGTTGTGTTTGAGTCTTTGGTATCGTTGTTCAAATTATGATTGCTATTGGCCAAATGCTGTGAACCGGCATTTGCCATAGATGATTGTTGCTGCTGTGTTTGGTTTACATCTAAATTGCTTGAGCTAGCATTCCGTGATGATAGAGTATTTGAAGCTGATGAATTGTTGGATGATGTCGATGCTAAATGCTGTTGTTCCTTAAGGATTTCATCGGTGACATAGGGTTTAAGCTGGTGTTTGAGGTTTTGCGAGAGATTGGGTGAGGCTGCTCGGGCGGATTGGGCACCAACCTAAAGAGAAAAATACAAACATTTATTAGTCCGAATATGAATTTAAAAAGATTACACAATTATTTGAGGTTAAAAAATTCAAAAGTCAGATGAGGAAAACATTTTGGACTTTTTAAAAGATATTTTTTAAGGATCATCAGGCCAAAAAGCGTGGAATTTTTAAGAATATTTTTGAAAGGACAATAAACGTGTTTTTTTAATAATATTTTTAAAGGACCATAAGCGCGGATTTTTTCGGAATACTTTTTGGAGAATAATCAGGCCAATAAGCATGAATTTTTGAAGAACATATTTTCAAGGAATGTCAGGACAATAAGCGTGGATTTAAAAAAATCAAGGGTCATCAAAAAATTAACCGTGAATTTTTAGGAATATTTTTTTCAAGGGCCATGAGGCAAATAATAGTGTCTTTTTTAAGAATATTTTTAAGGACCCTCAGAAAATTAACCGTGGTCTTTTAGGAATATTTTTTTCAAAAACCATAAGGCAAATAAGCGTGGCGTTTCTAAGAATATTTTTTCAAGGAGCCTCAGACAATTAACCACGGATTTTTAGAATATTTTCTTTTCAAGGACCATTAGGCAAATAAGCGTGGTTTTTTAAGAAAAATTTTTCAAGGACCCTCAAATGATTTACCGTGAATTTCTACGACATTTTTTTCAAGGGCCATGATGCAAATAAGAGTGGCTTTTTTAAGAATATTTTTTAAGGACCCTCAGAACCTTGAACTTTAAAGAATATTTTTTTTCAAGGACGATAATTTAAATAAGCGTGGTTTTTAAAGAAGATTTTTTCAAGGACCCCAAGAAAATTAACCGTGTATATTTGGGATAATTTTTGACAAGGACTAAAAGGCAAATAAGAGTGGCTTTTGTAAGAATATGTTTTGTAGGGCCCTTAGAAAATTAACCGTGGATTTTTAGGAATATTATTGTTTTAAGGCCCATACGGCAAATAAACTTAAGAATATTTTTTCAAGGATCCTCAGGAAATTAACCGTGGAAATAAACGTGGATTTTTAAATAATATTTGTCCAAGGATCATAGGACCAATAATCTTGGATTTTTATAGAATATTTTATCAAGGACCATATGGCCAATAAGAATATTTTTTCAAGGACCATATGGCCAATAATTGCGGATTTATTAAGAATATCTTTTCAAGGACTATAGTGCCAACAATTGCGAATTTTTTTTAAATATTTTTTAAGGATCATTTACCCAATGATCCTAGGCTTTTTAGGATATTTTTCAAGGGGCATATTGCCTATAATCGTGGACTTTTTTAGAAAAAGAATTTCAGGCATTATTAGTATATTTTCAAAAAACAAAAGGCTAAAGCTTTGGATTTTTTTAGACATTTTTTTCAAAGATCATTTGCCCAAAATTCCTTAATTTTTTAAGAATGTTTTTCAAGAAGCATTAATCGAGAATTTTTTAAAAACATTTTTAATAACTCTCTAGCTATTCTCGTGAATTTTTCAAAAGTTTTTCTTTCATTATTTTTTAAAAATGAACTCACCACTTTCTCCTTCTCCTTGACGTAGGACGTGATTAAGTCATGTAAAAAGAAGAAGGCATCAGCATCTACGGTCACGAAAATGTGATCGTCAAATTCTGTGGTAAAACTGCAGATAACCTCTGGTTTCATATCTGAAAAAAATCAAGAATAAAATTAAGTCATATTTCACATAAAGAAAAAATAAACAAAGAACCCACCTGATGGCTGCGGAGTTGTTGGGCCCTGTTTGTGTTCCGTTCTAAAATGCAAATGTAAACTGGGTAAGGCAAATATGACTTCACGATCTTGAGATTTAGTTGAACTGGCTGTGCTGGAGGCAGCCGATCTGGCACGTTCTATTGAATTCGAGGCAATTTCGCGATCATATTCCAGAATGGGGAAACGATCAACAGCTAAAAAACGAAATTTATTAAAACTAAAATTAAAAGTGAAATATTTTTCAACTCACCATCAATTTCACTATTGGCAAATGCATAATGGAACCACTCATTCAATGTCTTGAATTGTGGTGGAAATACAATATTCCTCGAAATGCGGCTAACAATGGCCATTGAATGATTTTGCTGTTGACCCTCTTCGTTGGACTGGCCCAGACATGAGGTTAATGTCTGGGTCACAAATATCTCACGCGTCTCCGCATCCTGATATGCCTCAGTGGTGAAATTGATAAATGGTGATTTTAAACTAAATAAGGCCCAAGATTTCGATTTGAAATTAATGCCATGGAAACAGGCCAATGAAATATTATTGCCGTGTAATTTCACCGAGCCACCCAAGACATTGCCATTGCGTGGCAAACGTGTCACCAAGGTGGGAACAACCAGGCCAGCCACCATTTCCAATGGCTTCTGCCAATGGCGATGATGTCGAGCATCGGTGTTGCTAATGTCAGGACCCAAATTCTCCCCACCACTCATTTTCTTTTTCATATTTGCTCGCCGCTTCATGCTGGCATTTCGCTCATGCAATCGTGGTTCCAGACTGGAGAATACACGTTTTGATGACTTGAATTGTTGTGTAAAGAACTCTTCCAGTTTATAGTACATTTTCAGCAGGTCGGCAGTTGTTGATTTGGAAATCATGATTTGTAGCTGGAAATATTTGAAATGGTTATTTAATATGACTTTATTTAATGATTAATAGAAACCCACCTGATCCCACGATAAATCTCCGTGAACAAAGATAATAGCCTTGGGCGCCGAATTGTCATATTTCGTCTCCTCGGCCTTGCCAGCATTCAGCAGTGTAGTTTTCCATTCATCCTTCATGGCAGCTGAGAATGAACTTATCCTCGTCATCAAGACCGAGGTGCCCATATAATCCAAACGCAATTCCAATGCCATAAAACTCAAACGTATGGTGTGACATGGTTCCACGCCAGACTCTTCTTTAATATGAAAACGATTATTGATTTTATTAACCTCAAAACTACCACCAACAATGCCACCCTTGGCATCCAACGATGAACCACCCAAATAAATGCCAATATACATATTTTTATAGCCGGTGCTGCCGATAGATAGGCGACCATCTGATTGGAAATCTTTTGTTAGCCATACCACATTACCCATAACATTGCCCATATTCATTTGAACATTTAATTTCGTGAAATTTACTGCAAATAAAACCAATGTTTCCCAGGCGGTGATTTGATTCTTCTCCGATGGTGGTGTACTGGAGGACTCATTACTCGACGATTTCCCCAGCGATTTTAGTTTACGTATGGCACCCGTCGATGATGTGGGAGTATCGAAATTCAATTTCATCTTATCACGACCATAGAAAGCAGTTGGATCACCTGGAGATTTGTCCGGGGTGCGGGTACGTTGAAAATCTTTGGGCGTCGTAGGAGTGCCGGCAGCATGATCACCACCGCCACCACTTTCACTATTTGTTTGTTGCACACTCAAATCGCCCAAGAATAAACGACGGACTATACGTCGCCTGTACCATGCCTTGGGGAAGGCCAATATCTCCGTCAATCGCCGCATATCGTACTTGAAAGAGGCACTGCCTATATCAACAATGGTTGAGAATCTTACCACAGCCTTTGACTGATCCAACGACCTTTTCGATGAAGCAGATGGTTCGATGTAGACCTTGCGGCAACGTGTTATGTGGAATTTTACAAATTCCACATTTATGCTCAGTGAATCTTTGCGCTCCGAATCGGTGAGTGGTGAAAATTGAGCTTCCTTTATGTTGGTCTTTTTGCCACCATAAGGATGGAAAATGAACACATTAAAATCGGCCAAACAGCCGGTAACACTGAGGCCACCTTGGGGTGTCTTGTCCTTGTCCTTCTCAGGGCCGGATGTCGCTGCACCACCTCCAGTGCTTGAATTTGTTTCAAAGGGATTTTGTTGATTATCTTCATCGGCCGAACGTTTCGAAGAGAACACAATATCCAAACTGGGCAGTTGTAACATACATTCCACCCGAGATACGGGTAGGCAGGAGAATCTAAACGTCGAGGGTTGCATGTGGAAATAGACAATAACATCTACGGGGAAAGAGGCGTATTGTACATAATTCGCAGGCAATATATCCAAATTGACAGCATTGTTAGAGGGGGTCTGTGAGCCGCTGCTCTGTTCAGCCTTAGTGGGTATGGGTTCCAGGGTTTGTTCCAAAAACTCCAAAATATGTGGCGATATTATTGTCTCCTCGGGAATTGATTGTAAAGTCATCCAGGCAAATAGTGATGCCCGTTTAGTGCTCATTCTCCGTGTTGATCCTGACATCATGGATTGGTGGCTATCGGTGCTTGCCATGCGTGTTGATTCGCCCACACTGTGTTCCACAGTCCTTGATTGGTAGTGTAGTTTGACATCCAATCCCGGTATATGGAATATGGTCAGATCCGTCAGCATGGCAGCATTGGAGGGGTTATATCGTAACTTACTTTTATCCCTTTGCCTACGTGAGGGTGTTGGACTACCCCAATCATAGCCCACACTTCTTTCCCGTTTGTGAGTCTTAACGGTTGTTGGTCCAGAAATGCAAAACCGATCTTCTGTGGTCTCCTTGGTGTGTAGAACACATTTGCCCGAATTCACCAATACCTTGATATCCAACTCAAAATCTATATTGGGTTCCTGCTGCTTTTGTTGATACTGATGTTTGCGTCGCATTTCCACCGAGGTGCCATCAATGTCTATCTCACTGGGTGGTGTATCCGTGTGAGCATCTTGGGAATTTGTGCTCTGTGGCTCATCATCACTATCGGCATTGGGCAAAGATGTTTGCCGCATTGTTTCCGAAAATGTTACACGATTTGTAGCCGAAGTCTTGAGTGAAGCACTCCTCGAATGACATGAGGCTGGTGTGGATTGCAAACTTGATATTTCATCATTGGAGGCAATGGGATCTAATCTCCTTCCCGAATATGTGGCCAAACCATCATCAATGTGATGACTATGGGAGCCACCCATAAACGATATGGATCTCTGAGATGTCTTCATACTTCTACGCATCGAAGGACGTTTCCATTTTTGGATCATATCTCTTCTAAAGAATTTATAGCATATTGCTTGCAATTCTTGTAGTCTCCGTTCCTCGTGGGCAATCGTATTTTGTGTTGCCCCCAAGGTACGCAAATCATTAATGATCTTCAACTGTTCGGCCATTTCTTTTTCCATCATAAATGAACGCTTCTTCGAATCAATGGTAGGATCAAAAACAAACGGTGGTAGATTCTCAAATTCTCTACGACGTCCAAAGGTATCACGCTGTGACTTGTCTTCATCCTCGCTGTCGGGTGAATCTAAATTGGTCTCTTCCTCCTCGAAACCACTTAGCATGGTAAGGGTATGACCCAAAGAGGACAATTGTTTGCCGATGTTAATATCCAAATGGATATCAACACCTTCCATTTGCCATTTAACATTCAGCAGCCATTTGGCATTTTCCATTTTCTTCGCAGCTGTGGTACAGGAGCAAACCTCATAGGTGCCCTCAGACACCACACAAACATTCATTATAGGTTCACTGGAATTTGGTTTCCAATCGTCCAACGTTGTTTCAAAATCATCAGCAAACCGTAAACACAAACCTTGGAATTTTCCCTTGGACACCAGGGAGCCGGAATTGCAGGCAGATATTATGGTATTTTCCAGGGTGATGACCACAGCTCCTTTGGGTTCAAAATCTTGATAGGACCTTGAGCCCCAGGACTGAAGGTAAATATATGAAAAATACAAGTAAATAAAATGTTTGTATGATTGAGAAAACATTGATATTTCTTCAAAACAAATTCGATGGAATTTATTCCAAAGCCATGTATTCTTCGAATTTGATTTGATCGAATTTATTATCCTATGGGTATAAAAACAGACTCAATCTCCCTGGAGCATAGCGCCGATTGGACTGGTGTTTATTCCACATTTTCGTACTTACATTAGCCACTGGATTCAACGGCAGACATATGCCCATATCCTCTACAGTCAGCTGTAGGAACAATGTTGACAGATTCGAACCAGCTATGTTGCTAAACTGATTAAATGGCACTCTATCAAAAACCTAAAACAAACCAAACACTCAAGAATTGAAATATTTGAAACAAAAATTTATGATTTTCTCCTCCACTCACCTGTTGCGATTGCTGTTGGGCATTTTCATAATTCAAATTCGCACGCTTCTCAGCCCAATACTCATAGGCATTCTTATAGTTCAACCACACTAATATGGCCTTATCAACAGCTATCGGCTGAATGTATACCAAAGGACGTTTTAACGTTAGCAGGATCAATTCTTTGTCCTCGTTAAGTAATTCATCTTGGAATGCATTACGTAAACCGATAGTTGTGTGAAAAAACGCATATTGTTGAAATTCCGGTTCGGCCTCATCAAATATCACATTACGTATCAGTTGACCGAGCGACAGATTAAAATCGATATGAGCTTTACCGAACATTTTACGATCATTGCCTTCACCCAAATTTTTGACGCGATTGGATAAATGCAATTCCAGGGTTCCCGTTTCGAAACGCACCGCTGAATTGCAGGGTGTGGTGGCCGTCAGCTGGATACGTTTCATTGATATATTTAAAGAGAAAAGTATACGTTTTAGACTTGACTCTTGGACACTACCACTATCACTATCCTCCGACCAAAGAGGTACTGGTTTTTCACCACCATACACCTTTTGCAACACCTCGTTAATTTCACGCATAAACACTTTTTGCACAAATACCAAATGATTGAGTAAATCAGTTGTGAGACACCGTTCAAATTCTCCAATTTCGGCAGAGGCATTAACATAACCTCCTTGTCGCAAAATCACACCCTCAACACGTTCATGTTCTTCCTGGCGATGTTCGGGTATATACTCAGCACTTACATGGACTGGTGGCAGGGCAATACATGCCTCGGATGGTAGATTCATTTCATTCTAAAAATACAACAGTCTAAAGATTAGCATTCCATTCTTCGAGGTGAAGCAAAAACTCAGCCTTACCTGAATTTTAGTATTAAAACTCAGTGTATGCGTAGGCAAGTCAATGACAAATTTCGCTCGATTTCCCGACACACCAGTTGAACTGACATGATTCATACGATATTGAGCCTGTAGCGATGGCAGTAGGGCAGCATTAATTGACAACGATTGTAGAAGGACATTGAACTGCATAACCAAAGGTTGCAGCAAACCATTCTGTTGAGGTTGTGACCTTGTCTGAGTATTAAATTTACGACTATGATGTGGTGGTTTTTCTTTGGTATCCATATTTGAACCAGAGTTCCGCGAATGAAATGGAGATTCTGGTTCATCGACATTGTGTGTTCTTGATGCGGTGCGACCAGAATTGCGACCCACTCGTAGCTCTTGTAGCGTTGACGAGAGCTGCTTTGAAGAACGTGTCATCATACCATGTAGCGCCACAGGATGTTGGGGAATCTCTATATTAACAGGGCCAATTGACAGAAGACCACTATTTTTATCACGTCCTCGTTTCGTGAGACTGGAGTAGAGAGTTTGACTCTTACCCACCGTTACTTTGACAACAGTTCTGAAAGGGAAAAGATGGAGGTTTAATCGGAAAACGTTAAGTTTACTATAATGGCTATATACGTTTTTATGGAAAGAGGTCTTTAATGGACAGAAGTTTATCAAAGGGTAATAAAATTATAGAAGAATTTCAAAATGTATTTTCAAAAGGTTTTCTTGTGGCAGAAGGGTTATTCTAGCTAGAATTACTGCAAAAAATCCACATCAGATCGCAAAGAATACCTTCAAAAAGACTATTACAGATCGAAGGCTAGAAAAAACCTTTAAACGATCTTCTACAGACAAAAGGCGTTCAAGAGTATTTTATAAACATGAAATCATAAAAAGGCCTTTAAGAGGTCTTCTATGTTCGTCTAGAAATGGAGGTTCTTCATCGGAAAGAAGACCTTAAGGGATATTCAGAACAAAATGACTTCAAAAGTCCCCAACAGATCGAAACGAATACCTTCAAAAAGACTTGAAGAGACTTCTAAGGACTTCTACCAATTAAAGGTCTTCTAATTAACATTCATCGCCTTTCAAATATCTTCCGTGAAAATTTGACCTTTAAAAGCTCTTCTATGTATAGAAAGCACCAAACCCTTAATTTAAATAACAATTTCGAAACATGATTTCATTTCCGAATCTTATTATACTTACTGTTGATTAGGAGCCACACCTTCCAGGAGCACAATCATGGCTCTTCCCACCTGCCCGGTGAGAGAACACTCCAACGAAACAGGCCTTGCCTTTTTACGCCACGTTGCCGAACCATTCAGAGTGGTTATTTCAGCTTCCAATTAAGACCACTCAATGTGGCCAAAAGACGGGTCTTGTGTATTTTGGCGACACCAAATACTATCAAACGCGTCTTCTCCTGTGAGCTACTATCAAATATTTCCTTATGTTGTGGCAGTGGTGTGGGTGCACTTGTCAAATCATCATCATCGTTGCGGGTATCTTGTCGGCCATAACCACCACCAAATGGTTTCTTTCATTGGTCAATGAAATCCTTTGTTGTACCGTTTTAGTTTCTGGCATTGTGCCGTATAATTCCAATAAATGGAAATAGTTTTCCAACAATTTGGTGTATCCAATAGAGGTGGTATAATGGCAGTGAAACCATTTTTAGTTATTGTATTATAATCGCCACTAACACTAGTGGCACAGGCTCCGGCACCATTAAGCGAAGCTTTTGATTCCAGCGATAGTTTAAACATATGATGTTCTGAGACGGATGTTGTTGGGCTATCTCTTAGCGGAGATGAAGATGATTCATTGAGATTGGTATAACCCAATTTGCCCTTTACCGATTTCCCTGTGGATCGTAGTTTTTGGGCAAATGATTGAGGACGGTTTTTGGCGCTTGGCGAAGGTGTCAGCTGAATGAGAGGTCTCATTTTGCTGATAAAAGTTATATGAACATCATTCGTTTTGGATTTATTATTTTATTTTATCAATGGCTTACCTTCCCGTGTGCGTCATTGTAACCATTTCATTGAATTTATCATATCGCTCATCGGAAGAATTTTCATTGTGATTGAAACGATCCGAGACGGAGCCAAAAGGCATAATATCATTGGGTTCAGAGGCTAGTAATAGAAATATATTACTTACAAAATGTTTTAAGCATGGTCGAAAGTTCCCCCGTAACTTACCCAAACTATATTCATCCTTGGCATTTGATTTTTTACTTATATCCGGTTGGTCATGGAATTCATTTTGGGCATCCTTAACATTTTGATACATATTGGTTATCTGATGTAATAAACGCAATAGAGGCATGTTGACCTAAAATACAAATAGGAATTATATAACAATCCCATTTTAAATACTTAGTATTGAAATTTCAAACTTACCTGTTGCGAAATAAATCTAATATTTATACTAAAATTAATCACAGTACTGGTATGTTTTTTCATTTGTCTACGTGACATATATATGACATTCTGCCTAGCCGTATCAACCATTCCGTCGGACATCTTCAAGACTTCCAATTCAATGCCAACACGTTCACACAAAAACAATGGTGTATCCATCATTATGGTTGGCCTACCATTCGCCTTCTTGCTTGGCAATTTTGTTGTCTTCGTTTTGTTTTTATCCCCCGCCTCTGAGACCACAATATCCACACGTATCGAATCGAAGGTGCCAATCAGTGATAGATTTGTGCCAAAGTTTTCCAATGATGAAATATCTGGGAGGGCGGAAAAAGAAAAAAAAAATCTTAATGTATTACAAAATAAAGAGTTTTTAATTGAAAAATACGCCTGAAGTTTTTCCTCCCTATAAAAGATAATTACAGATTTCAAAATAAAGAAAACATATTAAAAATGGCCCCTCAAAAGTCTATGGATACCAGGCGTTAAAATCGTATAGAGAAAGAAGGCCTTTAAATATCTTTAAAAGATCTTCTATGGAATTAAAGAGTTAACAAAAATATTTTTAATATACAGAGTGAGATGAAAAACAGCAATCAACTTCAGACTGGCTGTCACTTCTAAACCACTCGTCCGACAGCTGTCATTATATTATTTTCAAGCGTACGAAAGCATTTTGGTGAGAATTTTCCAGAAAAAAGGTATTTGTGATGGAATTCAAGTGTGATCGTGTCATTTCTTTATATTTGGCTGGAAAACCACAAGTACCTATTGTTAGAGCACTCCAGCATTTAAATGTGGATAAATCTTTGTGTGTCTCTCGTTGCCGTCATACTGGTATCGTAGTCCGACGTCAAGGAAGTGGACGGAAAAAAACAGCAACATCAGCACAAATAGTTCGAAAAGTAACAAAGCGGCTTTAACGAAACCCGCGTCGCAGTGGCCGAAAAATGGCTAATGAGCTGAAGATAACGCAATATTCCATTCGGCAACTATTGAAAAATAAGCTCGAAATTCAAAAAAGTGCAAAAACTTACACCGCAGCGGAAAGAAAATAGACTCAAAAGAGCTGAAGACTTGGCCGAAAATGGCGAACTGCCGAATTTGGTTTTCTCCAATGAAAAAACGTTCGTTGTCCAGCAGTTTGTAAACACAAAATATACTCGTGCCGAAGAGGTCAGCTGAAAATGTGCACCTTCGGTTGGCCAACAGAACTCAAGCGCCAACCATGGTGATGGTGTGGGCCGCCATAACAGCGATGGTCGCTCTCCGCTCGCATTAATCGACCATAATCGAAAATATTCTGGGGGGAGTATTAAAGCCTTGGGCACGCACACATTTTGGCCGCAGACCTTGGACATTTCAACAGGACTCAGCACCATCGCACTGAGCACGTGCCACCTAAGAATGGATACAAAATGAGGTTCCTCGCTTCCGTTAGACTATTCAAAATACCAAAGTGTCGATCAACTAAAGCAAGCACATCGTCGGGAATGGGCCAAAATGCCGGAGAGCAACATTCGAGCAGCGTGTGACGGTTTCATTGGCCGTTTGAAGGCCATAATTCATGCCAAAGGTGACCAATTCCAACAAATCTAAACTTATTCTAAAATTTGATGCTATTTCCGACATTTTTTGCTTTCATTCAATAAAATTTAAAATATGTTAAAATTATGGCGTTTGACTTTGTTGCAGTTTTTTTATCTCACCCTGTATTTGAGATAATTACAGATTTCAAAATAAAGAGAACATATTACAAATGGATAAAAGCCCTTTAAAAGTCCATGGATACCAGGCGTATAGAGAACGAAGGCCTCGAAAAAATCTTCTGTTGATAGAAAAAATAGGGTCAAAAAAATCATCTATGGAATTGAAGAGTTAGAAGGGTATTTTTAATACTAGGTCTTCTGGACAGAAAGTTTTCCAAAAGTCTTCTATGGAAAGAAGACATCAAATTATTTTTTGATGTAGAATGTATTAAAAAGATTTTCTACAGATAGAAAGCTTACAAATCCCTTTTATAAAGAAACCTACAAAAGGTCGTCATCTCGATAACGAATAGATGAAAACCTACCTGCATTGGAAAATTTATTAATCATTTGCTGTGGCATAACTCCCAGACATGTCAGTAGAGGCTCAAAATCAAATGGGCATCCAAGAGGGTAATCGAGTCCTGCATTATACCCGGACGCAGCGGTACATTTCCAGGCATTTTACTAACTGGCGTTGGACGTAGAATTTCCTTTTCGGCAATGCTTCTGTTTTCTTATTTTCCTGCTGCTTAGCCATCCAAAAGTATAAGTCCTCCTTTTGATTGTCCGAAGAGCTTAGCCAAAACTTATTCACGGAATTTGTGGAACTGATGGAACCCTCTTGTAAGGCACCATATTCTGGGGGAAAATAAACATATTAGTAAAATATATAAAACTAAATTTTACACCATTGGTATAGAACTTACAATTCTGCTGCTTGCTTATCAACCAAGCCCGATATAATGGGCAACATTTGTATGCTGGAACGGGAAGAATTGCCATGTGAATAGGTAGAAGCTTTCGTTAAACTTTTCCTGTATTTTTTGGTTATTTTAATTATTTATTTATTTTATTTTATTTTTTTTTTTTTTTTTGCAAACCGAAAAACCCCCGCAATTTGGTTGGATTTCAAAAAGGATTTTGATATTTACAAATTGTTTGCAATCAATTATAAAAAAAACAAACAAGAAATGGAAGGACATAGTAAACAAAATATATGTTGATCATATGAAAATATATATACAAATATATTTAAAATATATACAAATATATTTACATGTATCAATAATAAATATTTTCAAACTTACCCTCTTCTTGTCAAATGAATATTTGGTGAAGTCGATGTCGAACGTTGTGATCCATGTAGCACACCATCACTTGGATAAGCCATGCCAAATTGATTGGAATCTATATTGGTAATTTAATATTTATGGTTAGTTGGATACAATATGGAAGATATTTCTGTTCTGTATGGTTTGGTGCTATAAATATGGCTATGATTTTCGGTGTAAACTGTAACTACAATACAGTAATAATATTCAGTGAGCTGTAAAGGGTTTTCTTATAAGAATTACTTTGAAAGATTTTCGATTTTGCTTTAATAAGCAAAAACAAAAAATTATCCAAATATTATTACATAGTCCCTTATTTCCTTTCATTTATTTACCTTATAGAGAAATATAAGAAGCCCACAGGACCCATAACTTATATTATCAATCTGTCTTAGTCTTTAAATATCCATGATTGCGGCGTGGTTCTGAACATATTCTCTGGGTAATGAACACTGGGTCTTTGTGATCCTTCAAATTGTTCTTAAAATATCCCTCTGAGATCCCTAAAATATTTTTTATGAAAACGATGATTGTGGCTTTTTCTTTAAAAAATTAAATTTCAACTCTAAGGGTCCTTAAAATATTCTTTAAAAATCCATGATTTTGGCTCTGAACTTACACCGCAACAGAAAGTAATAGACTCAAAAGAGCTAAAGAGTTACATCGCTTGGCCGACACTAAAAATACCAAGATGTCGATCACCTCAAGCGAGCGCTTCGCCGGGAATAGCCAAAATACCGCAAAACAACATTCGAGCAGCGAGTGACAGTGGCATTGGCCGTTTTGAAGGCCATAATTCGTGCCAAAAGTGACTAATTCGAACAAATCGAAACTGATTCTAAAATTGATGCTATTTCCGACATTTTTTGCTTTCATTCAATAAAATTTGCAAAAAAGTAAAAATTATGGCGTTTGACTTTGTTGCAGTTTTTTTATATCACCCTGTATACACATTTTAGTATATGATTTTATTTGAGTAACACACGACCCCGCTTTCATTATATAATTATGCCATACATTTTATGATGTTTATGAAATGAAAAGGCTCCATTACAATTCACTCAATACTGTTAGGTTGTCCATAATGTGACACATATTTATAACACCAACCTTGTTTTTGTTCAACTAATAAAAGATTATAGAAGTTCAAATTATTTAAAAAATAGATAAAGAAACAATATTGATAGCAAATAAATTACAGACACAATTGTTGCAATGATGTTTGGGTCAACAAGAGTGCTAGCATTTCAGCTTAAGATTTCCAAAGCCACCAAAATCACCATATCCATAAAAAAAACCGCACAAACTTACCACACACAATGTACATATACACCGATACTTACATATACATATCTATATATAAATTATTCTAATTCAGGAAAATTAATGAACTATATCAAGTGAGGATAATAGCACATACACATATAGATATTGACAATATGGACATAAGGTGCATGAGGCCAAATTCAGATTTAACAGCGACATGGTGCATTGTAACATACATACACACAATACATATAGCATATGAAAATGGCTCTGATGACAACCAAGCAAACCTTGAACTGAAATGCTTTTTTCGAAAAATAAATTAAAAATAAAACAGACAGAATCCAAAGAAATGATCTGAGAGTAAGAGCTTGAAGCAAATTAATATTGAAATTTAGACAATCGTTGCTCGTTTGTGAGAGGTGTAGAGCAACAAACTCAAAATTAAAAAGGCATCAAGAAGAAAAGAAAAATAATTAACAAAAAAAAAAAAAAATTTTGGGTTAAAAACAAGGGAAATATTTTGAACATTAGAAAAAAACTAAAAATCTCTTTAGACATTTTTGGAGAAGTTTAAACATCCATCAAAGAGTATACAATTCAATCGAGAGGAGATAAAGAAAATTTCTAGTTTTTTTTAGCTGTTCAAATGAAACAAAGCGTTAATCAAAAAATACCAATATGAGTTCGATGATGCTGTGTTTGCCCAAGTAATAAGCATTCTCACTCTCTCTAGGATTGTCTCCAACACCAGCATATGCCCCTAAATCATTATCACCTTCACATTCTGGATCTTCGCATTCCTCTTCGTTTTGGGGAATGAAAAGGTAACATTTATGGGACGTGTCAATTTATTTTTGTATTGATGTTCAAACAATATGGGATTGTAGAGGGAATTCTTCCACTGGCGACTGAGAACAATAATGCCCTGGGAATAGAACCAAGAAATTAATGGAATCATTTCATATTTCAAACCAATCTTTTCTGTGACAACTCTTTATTGTCACCCTGTGTTATTATCTATTCCCTACATACCTGTCTCAGAGTATTAAGATGTGGTACATCACCCTGTTTGAAAATTCTCTCCACCTTTTGGACGCCCTCATCAAGCACCAATTTTGCATAATGAAACACAACTGACAGCTGGGATCTTCTTGCAATGTCTTCGACAGTAGGGTATAGTTATTGGCATAACGACTCTGGAAAATTTAATCATTGTAAAATATTCAATTTGGCTTCCATACCACTAACATACCTTTTAATTTTTGGATTCCTCTGAATCTTCTCATTCTCCAATGCATCGGCCATAAGGCAAGCTGCCACCGAAGTTTGCCGTGTATGCAATGCTTTAAGTAGTGCCACAATTTTAATGGCCAAACGATTACTGGGATTCATCCATGCCGTTATGGCTGGCGACGCCGTACTCAAGAGGTTCCAATCCAATCGTGTCAAATCAATTTTTCGTGTTATCGGCACACATGGCGGTGCAGCAAAATTAAGCCATACCGATTTTAATTCAATAACACATGATGAAAGTTTTGTCCGTTTCCTTGTTGGCAACTTTATCAAAACCCTCGGGCTTTCCTTTCGTCTGATTTGTACCTTTCCCTTTTCAATATCCTCATCCATTGCTGGTGGTTTGGGTGTAGATTTGCGATTGTCGTTTAGATTCTCCACACGTTCTGTGACAATGATATTTTCCAAAGCAGTTTGAAATTTTCTTTGGGTGTCTTCGGTGTTGGCGGCTTTTTGGTCAGCATACGCCACGCCGCCTCAGCTCTCGATGTTGTGGAACATCAATTTGTGGATTATTGGCAGCCGCTGCCGTAGTGGTATTGTAACATTTTCCACCAAATCATTGAGTACACCATCCTCGGCCATTTCAGCCAATTCTTCTTTCGAGTTTTCAGACTTTTCAAGTGGGAACGTTAACGATTTTACACCCATCTTCACCCACACCTTCAAGGCCACATTCAAAATAATAACCAATACTATCAACTCCTGTGTTGTCGGTCATTTTTAGGCATTCAAATAAAACTTTACTCTTAGGTTCTGGTATGGCGTCACCATTATCGGCGATTCTGGCCCAGTGGTACTTTCGGTTTTTAAACGTCTCAGCTGGGCATGTGCCCGTCCCACGTCGAGAGTGATACAAGTTCTTCTAATTGTTTTTCCGAAGTTTCAATTAGAATTGGTTCACCTTGTACATTGTCGGGTCGTGACTGGGATGATAGATGAGCCAAAAGGGCACGTGTACCCTCAAATGCCACCCTTTTTGTGACTATTCGATTGCCCGTCTGTTGTATGTACAAACATTGTGCATTGAGGCTCGAGTGGTCTTGCCCAAATGGAATTTTGTTGAAACGCCTTCGATATAGAATGTCAACAGGAGACGCAGCTGAGGTCCTGTAAATAAAAAGTGAATTAATATTTGATTTCGATCTACTGAATTAAGATTTTTTTCGGAAGAAAACCTTTTCAAGCGCAAT